AAAGAAATATGTTTGGATGATATAATTGAAAAGTAAGTTTGCATGTAAAATGACAGATGAGGATGTAGTTTTATATACAATATATATGTATATATATTATAATTATATAATTTGGTAAATTTAAGAAAAAATATTAAAATTATAATTATAAATGTAAAAATAAAAAAGACAATATATAAATGTCAAATTTCTAAACTAATACATAACTAATTGGATCTCATGTGTTCTACAAATTGATTTCTAATTATGTCATGAACACTATACATCTTCTTGAAGATGATGTAGTTAAATTTGATGAGGATGCTTCATTATTTTGATCCACTATTGCACTTTTATCTTCCACTTGTATGAATTTCATATTAGTTTTAGAATTTCTCCTAATAAAATTATGTATAATCATCATTGCACAAACTATGTAAACTTGTGTTTTGAAACTTGAATCTCGGCATATGTTGTAAAATTGCAAACCTATTAATAAGTATATATTTTATAATTAAATAGGTTTATATTTTGGTTTAGATTTAATTATATTTATTAATATTGTATATCTATTTAATTAATATTTATATATTTTTTCTCATCACTTAATTATAAGATAAAAAGAAATTTTGATACAAAATCAACTCTATCTTTTTATTTTTATATTTTGCAAAGAAAAAGTATAAATTAAATAAAAGAAAAGAAGGAAAAGATATATATATATATATATATATAAGAGAAAAGGCATCCAATCACTTATTTGAATACTTCAAAAATTTTCTCTAAGATATTTAGAGCCTGTAGAAACATTTTAAAAGTTAAAAGCGAGATCGTTGAGGAGTTCTACAAATCATAATTATTTTTTTTATTTCTTAATTTTCTCTATAATCATTTTTCATAATTGAGGATTTTAGAACAATGTTATTGGATTTTATTATGTGTTTTTTAATTACCTAGTTGGGGTAGAGATGTAGTCTAATTAAGGAGTTAACTTTCTACTTTCTTTGTTTTGACTCTTTACATTTATATTTATAAATATTTTTTTAATTATAAATATTTTTTTATTCTTCATATTGATTTTATGACTGTTACCATTTAATTAAATTTATGGATAATCTTGATGGATTGAGAGGTGAAGAGAGAATATAAATCTAAAGAAATAAACATAAATAACTAGGTTAGGGATAATTTTAAAAATTTGTGATAACTTAAACTATACCTTCACAGTTTAATTTGTTGCTTGAGTATTGTGGGAATGAATTCAATGCTAATTAAAAAGGGACTAATAATTTGGTAGAATATTAGAACACTTTATGAATAGTTGTCACTATAATTTATCAAAGTCAACTCAGAGGCTAGAAACTAACAACCTATAGAGTGAATCCTAAACCCAAACACTTTAAGTAATTGTGTCTTCATCATCATTATTTTCTTGATTATTTTTATTATTTATATTTTCATCAAATTATCCATTTTATCTATTTTTTTCGAACTATTAATTATTTAAATTAATAAAAGTATAACTTTTTTGTGGGGTTCGACACCTGAAATACTCCAAGTAATTTATTATTGTAATTTCGTATACTTGTAGGAGTGATCACATATTCTTCCAAAACCCCAAAAGTTCTTTCTATAATGTACCTTAAACTTGAATGATAATATTTAAATATCTCATTATCATTTGCAAATCTCAATTCTCGGACGAAGTCTAGGAGAAGATGATGCTCACATATATATAAATCAAGTTATTCATTTGGTGTTGGATAACTAAAATTGATCAAATAATATTCACTATTTCATACCAATTTTTTTACTCCCACCACTTATGTGGTGCCATCATCATATTTCTTTCATTATCCCAACCTAAATCAGTCTTTTTAAAAAATAAATCATCCCACTTCTTCCAATCTTTCTTTAGGTTGTCTAACTTATTTTTTAGTTGCTTCTTGTCATAGTTTTTGCTTGTTTTTCCATTAAATGCACCAACAATTGCAACGCACCCAACTTTTGTGAAAGACTTTTCTTGACGTTGCTTCTTGTATATTTGATCTGGGCATTCCTTCATGAAAATATTTGTTGCGATTACATGTTGCTTTTCCTTTATCATTTGACATGATTCTATAAAAGAAGCAAATGCATGTCTAGTTACCCAAAAACCATATATTAAAGTGATAGATCCTCGAAAAATAAGATAAGAAAAGCCTATTTATCTCACGGTACTATGTGCAGCCGCTTACATATAACATATATGAATCATTAATATAAATATTATATAATATAAAATTCTATAAAATTACATCATTGCTAAATCTTAACATAGAAAATTATATCATTTAGTGCATATTAATAAAAATACAACAACTTTAATTAAAAAAAATATAACAACTAGAAAAACAAAACAATGTCACATTGGCTAAAAACATGTTAAAAAAGAAAAAAAATAGAGTGAACTTCCATTTTATTTGTTTATAAAATTTAATAAAATGAATTTATATTAATAACTTACATTAAAAATTTATCTGAAAAACCCCTAAAAAAAACCATCCCCCCAAGAAGGTATAGATCTTGGCAAAACATGAAATTAAATAGATCTTGGCCCCAAGATTTTATTATACACAAAATTCCTATTAACTAAAATAATGAACTAGCAGCCAAAAACAAATGAATCAACCAGACATGAACCAACAGCAAAAACAAATGAATTAGCGAGACACCTAGAAACAATGAAGCAGCAAAAGCTTATACAAATGAATTCCTAAAATTTAAGGTTGAAGAAACTATTAACTCTTACCAGAAAAAATGGGGACAGCAAGCAGAAGGGAGGGACTGTCAGAGATAGAGCACGATGAGAGTGGGAAAGAAGCTGTAAAGATATAGAGAAAGCACAAAGGGATGACCATGGAAAGAGCATAATGTCTAAGCTCTGAACCCTAAATGCAGTTGAATGAGGGAAGGGTAAATAATGGTATAATAATATTTAAAAATACACTGATTGCTCCTACAAATAAAAGCCAAACGCAACTAATTTAAAAGTCACAAAAGCTAGCTTTTAACATGATTGTAGTTGTAGAAGTGTTCGTGGGCAATAATAAATTATTAGGTATGTCAGAAATATTAAGTCTCAATTGATAACAAGTAGTTCTCAGACTCTTTATCATAATTTATTCTGATGTAAAAGATACGCAAGAATCGGTAAAATAAGTACTTGATTAATACTAAAAAATTATAAAGCGTAAAAGATTATAAGTATGAAAATGAAAATAAAAGCTATAAGTAAAAACTATATGATAAATCTAAGAGTTATGGGTGCAAAATAGAAGTCTTTGGAGCAATGTTCATGTCCTCTTTTTGTGATTTGATACTCTATTTATATGACAGAGCTATGGCAGTTGCTCCTGTGGAATTTGGAATGTGCTTAGGAATAGTCAAGGATTCCCAATGCATGGTCTGCGAAATGCATGGCATGGTCTTTTATCAATGGGTTCCATTATTAAACAATCAACTTATGCCTCTGAGATATTTGGGAATAGCGATCATGTCCTAGCGAGATTTGGGACCGTTTGAAATTGTGATTTTTTGTACCAACAGTTTATGAAGTGAGTTCGCAACTAATAGGGTCTCAATGTGTTTATCAAATTGAGTCTTTTTTTGAGATCCGGACTAACCCTTTTGTTTATATTGTTGATTAGATCTTACTCGTCAATTACTTAATGCATATGAGATTATGGCCTTTAGCCGGTGACGTTTCTTTTTTAGCTCATACAAGAAGAAAAGCCCATTTATCAACTACTTCTACCCAAGCATGTTTTTTTTTTTTTAAAAAAAATCTCTAGCTAGCTTTTAGCTATGCCAACTATAGATTGGGCCAATCAGATGAGATGCCAAACAAGCATGGAGCCTCCATAGCAACATCCAAGACCAAACATGCACAAACCATTGATACCCTAAGTCAGCTTCATAAACATCAACATCCAAACTTCGTGGTTTTTTTTATATACTCAAGATGTTTATTTTTAATTAAATCAAAACACATGAATATTTTACAAATTAATCATTTTATAGCAACTTGTTGTTATTAATATTATTAACATATTAAATTTACTTGTCTTTATTTGATTGGATAAAAATATATTAAGACTAAGTAAATAAGCTTTACCCAACAAAAAAAATACTCCCTCCAGTCCTATTTATAATGCATATTTTAAAAGATTTATTTAATCTTATTTATAAATCACGGTGCAGCTTTTTAAGTAATATTTAAAAGATATTTTTAAAATTATCCCTCATGAGAAAGAAAAAAGTAACATGACATCACTTTTTAAATTTGTCATAGGGACATATTTGAAATTCTAAACACTTTTAATGCTTGTACTTTTTTGTGTTGGTATTGATGATGTTGGTAGAAATGACTTATAAAAAGGATCGAATGTTTACAGTTTAATAATTTTTTATTTGATATAAATTTTTATTTTTTAAATATAATATACTTTTCAAAATTTTACTTGATTTCATAAATTTTAATCAATATAGCATTTTCACAATTTAAATTGCTGTTTTTTTGCCCGACAAAATTTAAATTAGGGAAAGCATAATATTTAATTTCTATAATTTCATCATATTTTGTTTTTGGTTCATCTAGTTTTTTTTAATACTATCAATTCTTGTAAGGATTAAAAATATTAAAAAATAAAAATCATAGGGACTTAAAAAATAAAAATCACATATTTTTTTAAAATTATATGGATTAAAAATATTATAAAAACTATAAAAATTTAAAAGTAAAAATAAAATTTGAGTAAACTATAGATATTCATAATTATATTTTTTCTTTAAATTACTTGAGTCATGTCAATTGAATGCAACAATTTCATTTTTTTTAGAAAGTTAATTTAAAAAATTTAATATGGGTATTTTTTTTTGTTTGAAATATTTTAATTTTATTTTTATTTATGTAAAAGATAATGATTCCACGTCATGTCTGCAAGTATCAAGCGATTTATTTTATTTAGAAACACGTAAAATACTAAAAACAAAGGACACGTTTCGCGGAACCTAAGAAATCGTTCGTGGAGGCTTAGCACCAATCGGTGATTTGATTCATTCCGATCTAGCTTTCTGAATCTGAGACTTTTCTCGAACGACAGCAACTGTGAGGAATTCATCGAATTCAAAGAAGAATAAGTGAAAATGGTACGAAATTTTTTTTCGATCTTTCCATGTGAATTAGGGTTTTGGTTTAATCTGCGAGCCCTTTTTTCGCTGATTAAATGGTTTGTATTCATCGTAACTCTGAAATTTTGGCTCTTTTGATTTATTTTGGTTTGGTGAAGACAGCAGATTGAGGAATTGATATTAATTTGATTAGATTGGGAGGGATTTTCAGTGTTCCCCCTTGTGGGGGCGTGTTGGGGGTAGGGGATTCCATTGGGGCCAGTAATTGATCATCTTAACTGTCATGTAATTTTATTCATCTCTGGACAGCGTTTGCTATTTCTTGCTTAACGTTTCCCTATTATGGCAATAAACTTCATCTTTTTATTGAGAAATCTTCTGTGCTATTGGTGGAGTAGTGCCATTATTATAGATTAAGAATGCATTTACTAAACTAAAAAAGGATAATTAATAATGAGAAGGTTGGATTATGCTTTATTTTTTGTTTGCAATGGCCTTGATTATGTGCGAAGTTTCAGTTGAAATCTAATTGGTGAGCTCTTTTAGCTGTTCCAACTATTTTTTTGACGGTATTCTTTTTGATAGAAGCTTTGAAATTTTACTTCCTGTTTAATATGTAAGTGCAGATAAAATTGTGGATTTCTGAGATGAAAATTTCTGTTTTTGTTATCAATCCCTGTTTAATTCCTAACAAAAGAGTAGAGACTGTAAAGGCTTTGCTACTTTCATACTTTTTTGGGTCTTGTTAGTTGATAAACGATCTGTCGATAATAATTACACTAAACACATTATTTTGATTTTCCGCAGTCTTCACTTGCGGCTGCTAGAGCAGACAACTTTTACTATCCTCCAGAATGGGACCCAAGTCAGGTATGTTTGCTTGGAGGTTTTGTTTTGCTTTTGTCCAGAACAGTATAATATCAGGACTTCAGGAGGCTTACACGATGCTTTTCCTTTGCAGGGTTCTCTGAACAAGTTTCATGGTCAGCATGCCTTGAGGGAGAGAGCAAGAAAATTAGATCAGGGTATCTTGATTATAAGGTAATTAATTGCTGTAACAGTAGTAGTAGCAATAACCTTGCCATTGTTGTTGTCTACTATCCTTCTTGAGATAGTGGTCTTCAATGCAAAGTTGTTAAATATCTTGCAAGAAGTGCTCTAGCCTGGGAGAGGAAACAATGTAGATGTTGAACACCTTTGTCATTGATGTCTGTTCTGGATCATGGATATACTTGCACCAGAATACCAAATAATTGCTGCTGGATAATTGGAATGCATAGTTGCATGGTTTAGGAAGGAAATTATTCTCTAAATTTAAAGACTCATGGGCAAATTCTAGTGATCACCTGATGAATGATGATTTAAAATGCATCCATATTTTTTAAGATTTATTATATGTTGGAACCCGTTCTTCCGCATTAATAAACTGCTTTGGCAATCTATGGGTTTGCTTTAACATTAATTGATGAATAAATAAGCTAGAGAAACTGGTCCTTGAATGGCTCTCTTTTCTCATCAAAGCTTAAATTAATTTTCCTGGGTACTATGTTGACATTGTTGTCCCTTAATTTTGAATTATAATGCTTTCAGGTTTGAAATGCCTTTTAATATATGGTGTGGAGGGTGCAATTCTATGATTGCAAAGGGTGTCCGGTTCAATGCAGAGAAAAAACAAGTTGGAAATTACTATTCTACAAAGGTAAGCTGCATATGATTGCAAAAGCTTCTGACAGTTTATTTTTGGCTTCCTTGGCAAGTTATGTTATTATTTCCGCATTAATGCTTTAGAGATGAAAGAAGAAATACAAGATCCTGCACCTGCATATAAACTCTCTCTCTCTCTCTCTCTCTCTCTCTCTCTCAAAAACACGCACGCACGCAAAGAGCGAGCGTGCTTCATGTTCTTTTAACTGCACATGCATGTAATTTCTCTCTCTCAAATACACACACATGTGCACACAGAGCGTGCATCATGTTCTTTTAAAGCTTCTTCAAGTATTTTTGTTGATCTTATTTTCTCTTGACCATTTTAAAACTAATGTTTCTTGTTTCCGTCAGATATGGAGCTTTACCATGAAATCTGCATGCTGTAGGCATGAGATTGTCATCCAAACTGATCCAAAGAACTGTGAGTATGTCATTATCAGTGGAGCCCAGAAGAAAACTGAGGATTTTGATGTTGAGGATGCAGAAACTCTTGAATTACCTGCTGATGAAGGTTTGTAATGGGGATGAAATCATGCTTATTGAGATTTTATTCGTTATTCGTTATCTGCACCTGCTTTAGTTGGCTTGGAATTTGCAAATGTGCCGTCTAACTTTGTTGTTCAAGGAGGGAAAGAACGCAATTAGGCCTAGGGTTCTAATGGCTTTTCTCCATGGACTGAGATCCCGGTTCTTATAATAATGAGTCCACTGCTTCATCCTTCTCAGCCTTTTCGGCTGTGGTCAAGGAAGCAGCTATTCCATTATTGTTAATTGTCAGTTGCCACTAATTATGATGTTTATATAGTGATTCTTTAACGGAAGACTTAAAGAGCATTTGCAAAACTGAATGCTATCTAACTAACTATACTTTAAACTGTCTATTGCAGAGAGAGGTAAGCTTGTGGATCCATTTTATCGTCTGGAACACCAGGAACAAGATCTGAAGAAAAAGAAGGAAGCTGAACCAGTGCTTGTGCGCCTGCAGCGACTTTCTGATGCAAGGCATTCAGATGACTATGCTCTCAACAGGAGTCTTCGGGCCCAACTTAGAGTATGTTTCTGAGCTCCCAACATTTGTTCTGTTTTTTCTAATTTCATTTTCCTTTATGTCCATTGTGGATTTGATTTCTTATAATAATGCCACTGTTCTTTAGTGACCAGTCTTACTTTTTCGTTTTCTCAGAGTCAAAAGAAAAGAGTGGCTGAAGAAGAGGCTGCCTCCCGGAAAAGAGGCCTTGGAATGAGATTGCTTCCAGCTACACAAGAAGATGCAGCCACTGCAGCGAAAGTCAAGTTTTCTACCAAGTTTGACAAAAATAGAAGAGATAAGCGGGCGCTAATCAAAGCTGCATCCATCTTTTCTGAAGCATCTGCCTCCTCCACGTCTGATAAGAGAAGACTGGAGCTAGAATCTAAAAGAAGGAAAATTTCTGCCGCTGCAGCGTCTAGCCTACTAAGTGGGGGATTCAAGCCGCCATCATGGTCACAGAGTGCCACCTCAACAAGCAGGCAGCAGGGAGCTTCTATGCGTGTTAAGATGTTGGGAAGGTGAAAACTATCCGCAACGCCCAGGTGATTGATCTTGTGAATAGATGCCGCTTCACTATGTTTTTATTCTGCAAATGCTTGTCATAGGAGCCTAAGCTGAAAGTATTGCGTCTTGTTATTATCCTTTAGTTTACATTGCAAGAATATTAGAATATATGTAGATAGCCAGTTTTTGTTCTGTTGCAAGAATCAAGGTGTTTCAGCATGAACGAAGCATCGTTTGGTTCCAAGAATGTTGTGTAGGAATGGCTAAGAAGACTTTTTTTTTTTTCTTGACTGAAGAAATGCATTCATAATTAAAATAAAACGAGATTACAACGATATATGACTTGCTGAATTACTCTCATCATCTACCACATCTTGAGATAAAGTTGAGGAGTGATCAAAAGTACAAAAGCTAACATCTAATCTATGAGACATCTTAGCAAGTGATCGGAATAGGTATTAGAGCATCTATTGACATAATGAATGAGTATGCTTCAATCTTGTGAAACAAAAAATGAACATCCTCTATTACATCGTTGTTTAACTCTACTATTCATACTCAACTTCCGTTGCTCTCTTTTAAAGCTTGCGTCTTTCTTCTTGCATCTGCAAAACAGATGGGGCAACAAATCTGAATTTGAAAAATATAACCATATCTATTAGTTAATATTTAGGTTAAATTGTATTTTTAGTTCTTTAATTTTATATAAAATTTTAGTTTGATCTTTTAATTTTATAAAATATTTTTTAATTTGATTTAAAGTATTTTTTTGATCTTCTAATCTTAATATTATTAGTTTTAATTAATTACTTTTTGTGTTGATTATTATAATTTTTTAAAAAATAAAATTTAATATTTAATAATGTTTAATCAATATTTAAAAATTTAATATAAAAATTTTTTAAAATAAAATTAATGATGTTGTGTTAAAAGAATTAAAAAAATATTTTATAAATTAAAGTGTTAAAATAAAATCATTTGGAAAATTAAAAAACTAAATTTGTACTTCTAACTTAAAATTTATGTGGTAGAAACGTATGTATCTTTTTAAAAAATTATTTTACTGGATTTTTTTTCCTTATTAAATAATTTTAGATATCATATCTTTCGTTAGAATACATGGGGATAAAATTCTCTCCAGCTTCTTCACGAATGGAATAGTTCTCAATTCAATAGCTTCTATGTTGACTAAATTTATGTTATATTATGTGAGAGATTATATTTAAAGAAATCTATACAAGACTAAATTAAGATTAATTTATAAACACACTCTAAAACGGACCAAAATAAATAAAATAATATGTACTCCCTTTGTTTAAAAATATAAGGCATTTTTAAATGAATCTCACTCTCTAATAAAGTAGTTATTACTTTCAAACTAATATTATTTTTTCATATTTTTCGCTATTAAACACTATTATAAATATAATGTCATTATCAACAGGACACTTTTGAAAAAAAGGCAATGATTACACATTAAAAAATTAAAAATATTTACATTTTTTAATATTCAGCTCCTTAAAAAATATTTTATTATTTTTGAATGAAGGGAGCACATCAATTCTATAGCTAATGTTCAATTAAATTACTATATTTTTATCCAAGTAAGTGAATTTTTTTTTTTTGAATAGGAGGTCACAAAAAAACCATGCAGATAGACATATTAAGTCATATCAGCGTACAAGAAGTTTCTACAATCAGAAGGTAGACTATCAAAAATTCAAATAGTTGACTTGTCAGAAAGGCTTGATGGATCATTCAATCTGCACATTTGTTAGCCTACTTAAAAACATGATCAAAAGTAATTGACCAATCACGCATAAGAAGATTTCTAATTTTTTTAATAGTTGCAACAAGTGGATGAGTATTAAAAACTTCATTGTGTATGAGTATAATGGCTTCAATAGAATTAGAGTAAACATTGACTCTGTTAAACTTCTCTACCCAACAAATATTGAGTCCTTTAAGGATGCCCACAAGTTCAACTGTCATGCTGGGATGATAACTAAGAAATTTAATAAAACCTTTGATCCAATTACCGTGATCATCTTGAATGAGACTACCGCAAAAAATTGCCCCTTGATTGTTGACAGAGCTATTTATATCAAGTTTTACCCAATCTTTTTCAGGAGGGAACCATTTGACTTTTGTTTTATCACTCTGTTGAATCAAAAAGTTGATTCTAGATTGAAAGTATTGATCATTGAAAATATCTTGTATGTTGGAGAAGGCAATGTCTCTCTCAAGAATATCATGTTTAGAGTAAATGATTTCATGTCTCTCTTTTCAAATATTTCAACACATGTGAGCAAAGAGTTTTGTCAAGCGATATTACATGGCATTACCCATTGAGATATGTACAGTATATTAATTTTTATTAATAGTGCAATATATACATATATATTAACGATTGGATATTAATTTTTCATGTTTCTTAGTATAAATCCTTCTACAAGGAACACTGAAATTGATAAACTTTTTTCCAAAAATGACTTTCATCAATTCATTTTTGCAAATAAGGCAGACTTAGGTATTTAAAATGAATATATTAGCAAAAAGTGATTTAATTTAGCGTATTTTTTTTAATGTTATTGTAATAGTTTTCAGAGGGAATATCTCAATTATTAAATAACTTTGATCTTCGACTTATATATGTGTGATTTAATTAAAATAATAAAAATTAAAAGAAAAAAAATATAACTTTTAATCCCTGAATTTTTTTTTCAATTATCAATACTAAAAACTATATTATTCTCAAAATTAAAAAAAAAACGAAAATGCGGGGAGTACTATTATTAGATATCTCATGCTAATCAACAGTATTACCCATGCAAAGGTGCGTATTTAAGGTAAAAAAAAAAAAAAATCGGTAATAATATTCTGATTGCCTTGCTGTATTTCCTATTTATTAATTTGTCATCCTTTCCGTCCAAATTTACAAGACATTTTAAAATACACTTCATAATTTTATTTTTTAAAAACATAAATGTAAATTTTTAAGAGTATCTTTTTATTTAATATAACTTTATTCATGAAACATTACATAGAAAGAGAATATGATAAAAGGGGAAGAATAATATTATATCAAGCATAATTAATAAAATATTATTTTTTTTAAAATATTTTATATTTTATAACAAATTACCAATAAAAGTATATTGAAAAAACATAACTTTTGGCTTTTGTATTTTGTTATTGGTCTTTACATTTTTTCAATATTTTAGATCCCTATATTTTTATTTTTTTATATGTTAGGTCTCTTTAAAATCCCTACACTTTTTTCATTTAAGAATTTTGAACACCAAAAAATGAACACATATGAATCTAAAATATAAAAAAAAGTAGAAATTATAATAAAATATTATAAGCTAAATAGAGTGAAAAAGTTATGTTTTCCTAAGTATATTTTATGAATTGAATGGGAGAGAATATAACAAAGGCGGAGTAAGCAAATATGTGGACATGTTATTGGTTTTAGTCCTTTTAGAGCTAAAGACATTGACAGATAAATCAAATAAGATAGAAATTACTCAGCCTTAAAAGACAAAATAAGCTTTTGACTGATTTGGCTATTAAATAATAGAATCTCAACCTTAATCCTCTCACATGTAAACCATAGCATATCTAATGACAAACATAGATCTCAGAATCATCCCTTTTTATTTTAAATTAATTAATAGTTTAGTGTTTTGGTAACACTCAATACTGAGAAGATGCTTTCTTCAATGCAAATTCAAAATGGAGTTGCATGGAACATTATTTATTCCAAAATCTGAAATGTTGAAGTATTTATGAAAGAGAGAAATTATTTTTAGTCATATTTATAAAACATATCATTTATTTTTTTATATTTTTTCATTTACTTTTATTAAATATCAGGTAATAGAAAGTATGATATTAAAAATATGTTTAAAATAGTAGCAAAGTTGAAAATTTATTAAATTTTTAAGGGGAGTTAATGAATTTTAATGTTTTTAAAAATTTTGATACAACATGTTGAAAAGTGACTTCTAAATATTAAGGACCCATTTGATTTTCTTTCGTTTCACATTCATAAAGAAAATTTTATTTTTAAAATATTAAAATTATTTGGGTAAAATATTTTACAGAAAAAATATCCTGAAAGCACATTCAAACAGTGGTTGAAAGTGAATTTCTAAAATGTAACTATTTAAAACTTTTAAAAAGTAAATTTGAAAAGTAAGATGTTATTTGACCATACTACCTCAAGTTTAATCTCTTATTCTTTTATTTTAAAAATAGTTAATTCATTAAAAATATAATTATCATTTCAATTATAATAATTAAGTATCAAGTTTTCATCACTACAAAATTAAATAATTAATCATGTTTACTTTTAGCATTAATGTATGATAAAAATTATAAATCTTATCACATTTTTTTAAAATTACAAATTAAAGAGTACAAATAACTAGAGATCAAATTTTTAACATTATAGATTAAATTTTATGTTATTTAAAATCTTTATCATATTTTTAAAATATTTTAAATATATTACATTTGTATATTAAATCATTATAAATTAATGTCCTTTTTTATTATTGTATATTCAAAAATACATTTCACTATCACAAACCAAACAACTTTCAGTATATCAAATCGATTTTTAAAAAAATATATCTAAACATAAATTTCATCACAACAATTAACTTTCACTAAATTAATTTTTATTAAATGAACTTTTATTAAATTAAAAACCAAATACACACTAATAAGATGTATCATCTAGAAGTACAAATTTTTGTGGAATTTGTGGAAATAATTATGCCTCCTTTTGGGTCTCAAATATGAGATGTACTTCCTCTTATGTCTTTAATAAGTCACTTATAGTTAACTTACCAAAACTAATTTTAATTGGTTAAAATAATAAAATCATCTTAAAAATAAATCAGTTCCAATTTTATCCCTACATTTAAAATGTAGTGGTTTGATGTGTAGGAAGGATTTTCTTGAAACTTGAAATATTGCATTTCTTTTTATACCTTATTGGAGGGTATTTTTGGAATTGTATATCAAATGTTACCCAAAAAAAAAAGAGAAAATTATTTATATAAAGGACCCAAAAAACCTTCTGAAACGTTATTTATAAAAAGGATAGGAAGAAGCATGATTTGAAACACATTTTGAAAGATTGAGTATTTTTAATATAAATTACTTTGCAAGATGTGAAAAATACTAAAAATATTTTCAGGATTTGTGCCTCTTTATGATATTACGCAATTAAAACGGGGAAAGGAATTAAAAAAAAAAGATATAATTAAGACATACTTATAATTTAGTGAGGGTAATTTTGAAAACTAATTTTGATAATTTCAAATTCTATGCATAAGCTGGATGACGCTAGAAAATAAGTTTTTTTTTTAAAAAAAAACCAGATGTGAAATTCATGCAACTCACAGACCCAGAATTGTGTTAATCAAGATTTATGAACTGAACAGCTTGTTAATTTCATACAAACAGATTCCTGCACGTGGAATTGATCCATCCAACATGGACATTCAGTGTTGCAGTCATGTTTCATGTTTGCTCCAATCACATGCTTTCTCTTGACCATATAAAATTATTTTACCTCACAGCTCAAATATAATGTATTTTAAAAATAAAAAATAAAGAGTTTTAAAATATTTGTATTTTTTTAAAAAATAAAAAATAAAGCAAGCCTTTGAGTGTCCTTTATTTAACCATCTTTTTAGGTAGATTCATATAACAACAAAAGAAGCCATATACTACAATCTATGAATCTAATTAAATACTTGATCTTGTTTGCTTGAAAATCTTACAATTATTCTAATGATCTAATATACTTTTTTTTTTTCATTCATGAACATATTTTCGAAGAGAAAAGCATCACTTACCATAAAGTGATAAAACCATTTTTTGTAAAGTTACGTTCCCAATTTTATTGGGAGAAAAATTTTGCAATAAACACTTTGAAAAATAGTAAAATATAATATATTTACTTTTTACAGCTGGACATATATGACCTGGCACACTCTGATTGGTTAAATTATAACATATATATATATATATATATATATAAAGTTAAAATATTGCATGGGCAAAGACCCACGGGCCACGACAGGCAATGATCCTCTTGTCCCTCAGAAACAAACAAACAAAAATAAAATAAAATGGAATACTACAGTAAATGGTCATAGCAGACTTGTGCTCTTAATCGTATCACACTAATCGAATTAATACAACTATCCGTATTCAAATACGTATACAATACGGCATTTCAGCCCCCAAAACGCGTTTTTCTGTCTCCTCTTTCACTCTGTCTCTCTCCCACTCTCTGTCTGCTTCTCATTCTGCCTCCAACAATGGCGTTTCCCTTCTCACTCACCCTCCGTATCTTCTTCTTCGCCATCCTCCATTTCTGTAACTCACTAAGCTCCTCACAAGATTACCTCAAGCTTCCTCTTCTCCACAAGAACTCTCTCTCCTCTCCTGCTCAACTTCTCTCCTCCGACACCCACCGTCTTTCCGTTCTCTTCTCCACCCTCCACGGCCGTCGCAACAGCGTTAAGTCTCCCCTTATCTCCGGCGCCTCCACCGGCTCTGGCCAGTACTTCGTCAATCTCCGAATCGGGTCCCCACCGCAGAGCCTCCTTCTCGTCGCCGATACTGGCAGCGATCTTGTTTGGGTGAAGTGCTCCGCCTGCAGAAACTGCTCCCATCACCGTCCAGGATCCGCGTTCCTCGTTCGCCATTCTTCCACATTCTCGCCTCACCATTGCTACGATCAGGCCTGCCGGCTCGTTCCCCACCCGAAACCTAGTTTTCCCTGCAACCGTACGATACTACACAGTCCGTGTCGATATGAGTATTCTTACGCTGACGGGTCGACAACGAGCGGTTTCTTCTCGAGGGAAACGACGACTTTGAACACCAGCTCTGGGAGAGAAGCGAAGCTCCGAGATCTCGCTTTTGGGTGCGGTTTTCGGATTTCCGGCCCGGGTGTCACTGGTGCGAGCTTCAATGGAGCTCAAGGGGTCATGGGTTTGGGAAGAGGCTCTATCTCCTTCGCTTCACAGTTAGGTCATCGGTTCGGGAACAAGTTCTCTTATTGTCTACTCGACTACACCATATCCCCGCCTCCTACGAGCTACCTCACCATCGGTGGCAGCGCTCAAAACGGCGCCGTTTCGAAATCTTCCAGAATGAGCTACACACCATTACTGACCAACCCTCTCTCTCCATCGTTCTACTACATTGGCATTAAGAGCGTCTCCGTTAACGGCGCGAAATTACCAATCAACCCTTCTGTATGGTCCATCGACGAACTCGGTAACGGCGGAACGGTCATTGACTCCGGCACGACATTAAGCTTCCTAGCTGAGCCTGCTTACCGCCAAGTTTTAGAGGCGTTCCGACGGCGGCTCAGGCTTCCGATAGTATCGATGGAGTCGAAGTTGAGCTTCGATCTCTGCGTGAACGTCTCCGGCGTGCGGAGGCCGAACTTGCCGAAGCTGAGCTTCAGGCTGAAGGGAAGGTCGGTGCTGTCACCACCGTCGAGAAACTACTTCCTGGAGTTGGCGGATCGGGTCATGTGCCTGGCATTGCAACCCGTCAAAACTGGGTCCGGGTTTTCAGTGATAGGGAATCTGATGCAACAAGGATTCTTGTTGGATTTCGACAAGGACAGATCGCGACTGGGATTCTCGCGCCATGGCTGCGCATCGCCGTGATGTCAGCCGGGTCAATCTCAATTCACGGGTCAACCCGCTTCCTATTTTTCCCCAAAAGAAATAATAGCTATGATTGCTTCATATATTCTTAGTACTTACTTGTAGACAATTTGGTATATCTTGCATTATTGTGACTGTGAAGATGGGAATCCTCATTGATAAATGGTAAAAGGATTAGAGTTTTGTTTGATTTTTATCCGATTAATGGGTTTGGTTACTTTTCTTTTTTAACAGAGAGACGCAGAAAGAGAAAATGAAAGTGAGGCGTCATGAAAAAAGAAAAGAAAAGGCTTTAATGACTGCAAAAGTTAATTATGTTGCTGCCTTTAAGTACAGTGTACCATGGAACAAATTAACAAGAACAGTTTTAATTGCTCTTGAATAGTTGTTAGGAATTTTTATTCACGAAATGTTGCTTTTTGCCTATTAAGGCTCTTTTAAAATGTTTTGAAAGAAAGCAAGTCTAGATTTATGTAGCAACGGAGAATATTTAGGAGCATAATACTAAATGACAATGTTAATTGTCACTTCCTTTTATATTTTTTAAACAGTTAAATGTTAAAAAATATAAATTATTTTTAATCTTTCGAGATATAATTATTTTTTTATTAAAGTATTTATATTAATAAATGATTTTATATTTATTGTAGGGTTTTTAATAAGAATAAATATAAAAAGATAAGGTTAATTTAAAAGTAGATAATTATTTTATTAGGATGAGATTCAATTAAAAATACCTTATATTTTTAAATAAATAAAGTAAATTCTTGACTAAATTAACATTTTAAACATCCTTTTTTTTTTCAATATGAAACCAAACTTTTGAACAAGATTCTTCAATTTTTGTGGTTATTTTAGGCTTAATAATTATACAAATGATGCGTGCAGGCTTAAAAAATTGCAAATATAAATTAAATAAAACTCCAGCTAAAATCAATTATTGTTTTCTTTTAAAAATTGATTTGTTGATTATTTGTGCTTGTACTTGCATGTTAACAAGGAGAATCGTTGAAGTCAAAATCTCCACCTTCTTTATTCTATTCTACCCATTGATAATGGTAAGTTTTTTTTTTTTTTTTGGGTTTAATTCATATTACCATTGCATGGTGTTGAAAAATTGCACAAATTGACAAGGAATGAAAGTATGATTGCATGCATAAATAATTGAAACGTAACATTCGAGGAATATATATATATATATATATAGAGAGAGAGAGAGAGAGAGAGATAAGGTGATAAGGATAGCATCATTATCTTGTCCCATCAATGCTCCCCTCTCTTTATTTACCTCTAAATCCAAATCCTTGTAGTTGGTTGTTTTGAGTGAAGGTTTAAGAGAAGAGGATCATGTCTAGACCATTTAATCATGATGTGCTGCTCGCACAACATCGTTTTTGGGACTACAGATTCAACACACTTTTATCAAATATGATCAATTATGATGACTTTCAAAAAAGTTTCAAGACTCAAATTATCCCATATACTCGGACTGACTGGACAATGTAAGAGTAGTAGCTCAGTTTGACATGTTAACTATATTTGGAGAGTGACCCATTTCGATTTGGGCGGGTTTGAAAGGCCTCAAGTTAACCTAGAACTTGAAGCAAGTTTGCTTGACTTGGCAGGTCTTAAGCAGGGGCAAAATCGGTACCTGAAAAATCCTAAACCCTTCAATCTTAGATATTGTGGTGTCATGGGTTGACAACTAAAATATAGAATGAATTTGCACTGTTATTATATTAATAACCTACTTCATTTGTTGAAAAATGTGATACATTTTTTAAAATATTAGATGTAAAAAAATATAAAATATTTTTAATTTTATAAAGTGTAATCATTATTTTTTTTAAGTATCTCTAGTAAATAAATCACTTTATATTTATTATAAGGTAAAATACTCTATTAAATAAGGATAAATATAAAAAAATAAGTTTAGTTTAAAGTAAGTAATTACTTTATTAAAAGTGAGATTTAATTAAAATGCCTTATATTTTTTAATAAAGAATGTAACATATTGTGGTTTTTTTGGGTCAATTTGATGTTTTTCCTTTTATAAATATATATATATATATATATTATTGTTATTTAATTATTATATCACTTTTTTGATTGCTTGTCTCACCAATTAAATCACGAAAACTGTGAAATAGCCATTAGTTCTCAGATTATTCTTCTTTTGTTTTGTTTTTCTATTTAAGCTTAGCTTGCCTTTTCATTCCCAAAAAAAAAAAAAAATCAGGCACCATCTCTCATGTCATGAGCATTTTTAACCTATCTCCACTGCAGATTTTAGGCACTTTATTTTAATTTTACTTCTTTTCCATCCATTCCCATAATTTCTTACAACTAAATCACCTTCAACTTTCAAGTGACTAAAGTTTTTTTTCCAAAAAAAAAATAAAAAATAAAAAACAAAGCAAAAGAATCTGATCAATCTATTTAAATACCACCGAAGAGACATTTGGGTAATTCACCTTTCATTTTCAAATTAACCAAACTTAATCTGGATTAATTAGGAATGGATGGTTCAACCTTTTTTTTTTTCGGAGGAAAAAATTGGAAGTTTCTTGTAATGGTGAGAATCTATTGAGTTGGGGACATTAATTGACAGACGAAAGAGGAACGTGTCGTTATATAATATAATTTGATTCACGAGATTGGCAGTGACATATTAAGAAAATGACTACTTCCAACGCATGCAAATAATGCAAACAAATTAATTAAAGCTGCTTTTTTTCTCTTTCTGTTTTTTCACATGCACACCCAAATTCTCAACTGTGATTCCTCAATCGTGCGTCCACATTAAATATAAATACCAATCTAAATTAGAAACTCATCCAGGTTTGCCATATTGGCAATACTGTCATTTAATAAAACTTGTAAAGATCCTATAATTTTTACATCCATAGTATAGTAGTATATACTTCCCGTCCTCTATATATAAAATATTTTATAAAAAAAAATTGATTTGAATTATCAAGTAGTTTTAATGATATTCTTGTAATTTAGAAAGCATTGTGAACTTGCACAAATAACAAATTGTCCCCTCATTTTCATTATTTATATTTTCGTAATAATATTTATGTTTTTTAATTAACAAGAGTATGATTTAAACGTTAGGATATTTTTTAACCAATAAATCCCATGGAAATAGGCAAATAACAAATACGTACAATAAAATGTAGTAATTACTTTGAAGTTCCTAAGAATTGACATAATTTTTTGTACAAAATTATGTAATTTTTTGTATAAAATTATGTTTCTAACTCTAAGTAAAATAATAAAAAGCATAGTTGTTAATACCTAAACTAAGATTATTAATAATAAGTAAAGTTGTTTATATAAGAAGCATAGTTTTTATTGCATGACTAAATTGAAGTTATGACCAATTGTATTGTTAATATTTAAGCAGAGATTGTTAATACAAGAAGCCTACGTACTTGTATGACTAAATTGAAGTTATGACTAACTATATTATTAATATTTAAACTAAAATTGTTAATATAGGAAATGTACTTGTTAAGTTGTTATTGCATAACTAAACTAATAACAATGCTTCTTACATTAACAACTTTATATTTATTATTAACAACCTTGGTGTAGGTATTTATGACTACGCTTTCTATTATTTTGTAGAGAGGCATAAACATAATTTCACAAAAAAAATAATTTATGATAGATAAATCCTTGGGGACTTTAAAATAATTATTCCATTTCGTGGTACTTTTTTGTCATTTGCTTATTTTGACTAGATTTATTTATCATTCCCCCAACAGAGAAACAAAATAATTTTCTTAATTTGCATGAAAAAATCTCAAATGTTCTATACAAGGGACCATAGGAGTGTAGTGAGGTATTAAATGAATCTATTAATGAGCGTGTATGTAACTCAGCTAGTTAGAAATGTGTTAGCTTAACCAGAAATGTTGAGCTTGAGTTCTGGATATGTAGCTGTGTTAAATATTTGTTAGGAACACTTGTTGCCCTACAACCCTTGTGGTTTGACCCGCCAGCTTGATCTGGATTAGTTGGGATCTGAAAGACTCCTAATAATGAGTGCACATGCCAAAAAAAAAAAAAAACTCCTTCCTAGGATTTATTACATCTTTTATTTTCATAATTAATCTAAACAAGTTTATGTAATTGGTGAGCCCAAAAGATTAAGCAAGATTAAAGCATCCAAATTATTTCTGAATGAGATCGTCATATTAATAATAAAACTAATTATTACGCTTTCATCTTTAGGAATGAGAACAACTTCATGGGCTTGGGTTTACTCCTTTCAGTTCTATTTTTTTTATCAAAGACAATCTTATTCAAATACAGTCAAATGCTAAATGTGGTTATCTCTCCAATGAAGATTCAAATTTTAATTCATCACATTGTGAGGAAGCTTATTCTACTAGATGTGCAATCTTCATTTGTTCCTGTTTTATTTATAAGGGAGAGGGCCAGAGGGAGAAAAGAATTGTTTTCATTCATAAGTTAAATTATTAAATTTTTATCACGAAGTTCTTTTATCACCTATTAAATCTTGGTGAGAGTATGAAAAAAAAAAAGGTATGCTATCAAAGTGTACATACTTAATAGAAGCAAAGTTATAAACATATAAATTTGTGGACACAATAAATAAATTTTAAGATTTTCCTTAACTTCTATTAAACATGTTCAAAATGAATTATAAATAGATCAGAGCAGTAGTTCATATTCACCTTTGCCTTTTTTTTTTTGGGGGGGGGGGGGTCACCTTGCCTAGGTACAAGATATCGAAATGTCGCATTATATAGAACAGAAAGTATATTAATAAAGTGCTGCATATCAACTGCTGAGATGACAAGGAAGGAACGTGTAGGATTAATGGCAAGGAAAGTTTTACGTTAAAGTTTAGAAACCCATCGTTTCATAATGAAGGAACCAGAGCATTAAAATGACGTTGCGAAGTTGAAGCTCACGATGATAAACCAAGAAATGAAATCTAGAGAGAGAAAGAGAGAGTAAAGATGGAGATGGAAGACATGTGGGGCAGTAAGGGTGTAAAGTGGGAGAGTCTGATTGCAATACTCAAAAATGGAAGGAAGGATGGGAACCCTAATTAATGGATTCAGAGACACTGAGAGAGGGTCGTGTACTGTGTCTGCAGATCATCCAGCTGTCGACATGGCTCCAGAAGCTTCTGTCTCACATGCTCTCTCTCTC